GTCCCATAGGGAGCTCCACCGAAAGTCCCAGTGGCGCAGTCCGCATGCGGTTCCCCCACCCAGTACAGCGTTTCGTGGCCCCAGAGGGAGCTCCACCGAAGGTCCCTCTGACGCAGTCCGCATGCGGTTCCCCCACCCTATACAGCGTTTCGTGGCCCCATGAGGAGCTCCGGCGAAGGTCCCAGTGGCGCAGTCCGCATGCGGTTCCCCCGCTAAGTACAGCGTTTCGTGGCCCCATAGGGAGCTCCACCGAAGTTCCCTCTGGCGCAGTCCGCATGCGGTTCCCCCACCCTATACAGCGTTTCGTGGCCCCATGAGGAGCTCCGGCGAAGGTCCCAGTGGCGCAGTCCGCATGCGGTTCCCCCACCCAGTACACCGTTTCGTGGTCCCAGAGGGAGCTCCACCGAAGGTCCCAGTGGCGCAGTCCGCATGTGGTTCCCCCACCCTCTACAGCGTTTCGTGGCCCCAGAGGGGGCTCCGGCGAAGGCCCCAGTGACGCAGTCCGCATGCGGTGCCTCCCTCCATTACAGCGTTTCGTGGCCCCAGAGGGAGGCGGGAGCTCCATCGAAGGTCTCAGTGGCGCAGTCCGCATGCAGTTCCCCCGCTAAGTACAGCGTTTCGTGGCCCCATGGGGAGCTCCATCGAAGGTCCCAGCGGCACAGTCCGCATGCGGTTCCCCCGCCCAGTGCAGCGCTTCGTGGCCCAGCTCCACCGAAGGCCCCAGTGGCACAGTCCGCATGTGGTTCCCCCACCCTATACACTCGGCATCGCTCGGACGTGTGCGTTTTTTCCTCGGCGAGGGCCATCGACGAGCATCTTTGATCATTTGGCGAAAAAGCCATGCACGAAACCGAAAAAAAACACAGTGAATGGACGTCCGAGCGATGGCCAGATACAGCGTGTCGTGGCCCCAGAGGGAGCTCCACCGAAGACGATACAGTACCCGCAGTTGGGCTAATTTCGATACGCTGGATCTCTGGGAGTGGGTGCTGGCGCTGGCCGCGCTGGCGACCCTGCTCGAGGAGGACGGCCTTCCCAGCCACGCGCAGGGGGGTCCTCCTCCTCCTCCTCCTCCTCCTCCTCTCCTCCTCCTCCTCCTCCCTCCTCCTCCCTCCTCCCTCCTCCCTCCTCCCTCCTCCTCCTCCTCCTCCTCCTCCCTCCTCCTCCTCCTCCTCCACCTCCTCCTCCTCCGCCTCCTCCTCCTCCTCCTCCTCCTCCTCCTCCTCCTCCTCCTCTTCCTCCCTCCTCCCTCCTCCCTCCTCCCTCCTCCCTCCATCATCGTCGGGATGCTGGAGTCGGCGTCTCTGGGGGGAGCCCGCCGATGTGCTGGCCGGGTCTGGGGCCCCCCAGAGGCGCCCGAGAGGCGCCCGCTCGAGAGTCACGCCGGCGTCGGGCACTTCCTCCTGCGCGCCCGGAAGCCGTTTGCAGTTAGGTCGGGCCTGTCCCCCTACAGGGGGAATATTCAAAAATTGTAAAAAAGTCTGGGGATTCCTGTTTCCAGCAATTAGTTGTGACAATTTTGGATCATGTTTCGGGTATTTTTTCATTTTTCGTCGAAGATGCCCTTGTAGGGGGACGCGCCCGAGTGAAGTTTACAGTCGGCCCGCATAGCGAGGATGGGCAACCTGTCCGAGGGTACCCTTGCATTCAGGCGATCGCAAACGTGGATCAAGGGGGCGTGGATCACCGACAGGTCCCGTTTCCAGGGGAAATCGCGGATGCCCGCCGCCGAACGAGGCGGCACCGGCCACATTTTGGGTAGGGCACCTCCCCCGATCCATGGATTTGGCGACCGCGCGCCAAATAAATGGATCGCCAATCCATGTTTGCGCGCCCCCGATGCATCCTTGCCCCTTCGGCCCATCCTTAGCGACTTTAGCTGGCCAGCCTTGTTCGAACAGCGTTCGCATGGACCTCCAATGCCCTTGCATGCATACCGCGCATCCTTATGATACGGGTTGGCTGTATTCGTGCCTCGATTCGGATGCATTCCATGGGAGGTCAAACTCAGCATCTGCGCTCGTATCTCTGCGGGCGAAAACTAGCCCAATTCTGCTTCGTCCCGTCCACTTCCACCTGGTCCCGCCGAATCCGGCTTCATCCTGGGCGCACTCGGGCCTGATCCGGCGTGATGGCCCCCTCGCTCCGGCTTGGTGCCCCTTGATCTCGGCCACGCGCAGAGGGGGGCTACGGGGGAGGGGCGAGGGCTTCTTAGAAGCACCCCTGCTTCTTGGACGGCGCGGGCCTCAACCTGTAGATGCACGGCCGGCGCCTGCTGAGAGGCAGCCTCCTCCTGAGAAGCTCTCCCTCCTCCCCCGACCCCCCTTTGTGTGCGCCGCCAGCGATCAGGAGGGGAACAAGAGCACACAGGCACAATTCATCGTCGGTTCCCATGAAGACGTGGGAAGACATGGGAAGTGGGGGGGAAGACGAAAACCCAGAACATACAGGAACATCATGGGAATCCTGGGCTTTGTGTGTATGTACTTGTGGATCCTTCGGCCCCTTTATAAAGGATCGTTCCCACGAAGATCTCCCAGGAGTGGCCTCCTACTCCTAACCTAAGGAGGGTCTGCATGGCTTCTTCTCGGCCCACCAGCCCTCGGGGTGGCCAGCCGGCCGGGGCACCAGAGCGCAGGGTCCAGCAAAAGGCCCAGGAGCGCGAGGCGGCGGCCCAGGAGGAGGCCCAGGAGCGGCAGTCCCTGGCCCAGAGCAGGCTGGCAGGCAAGCTGAAGATCAGCACCGCGGCCACGAGGATACAGGCCGTCGTCAGGGGGTTCCAGGCCCGCGTCCGGCTCAGCCTCACGGACCAGGGCGGCAAGGTCGTCCGCCTGCCCAGCAAGCTGCGGAGTCAGCTGTCCCAGCCGCAGCACAGCGAGCACTCCATCCGGCTCCTCGACGCGCAGCGCGAGGCCGCAGCGACGACGCTGCAGTCCTGGTGGCGTGCGGTGATGGGCCGCCGCGTGGTGGCCATTTTGCGTGTCGACAGGGGGGTGCGACGCATGCACGCTCGCATGGCGGCGGCGGCTGTGCGGCTGCAGGCCGCATTCCGTGCGTTCAAGGCTGATGGGCCCATTTTCCACCACCACCACCACCATAGGTAGGAGAGGGAGGAGAAGGAGGAGGAGGAGGAGAGGA